TGGAACATACCTGTCATCTTAGTGGCTTGGGAGGCTGAAGCAGGAGGATCATGAGTTCAAGGCCAGCCTCAGCAAAAGCAAGGTACTAAGTAACTCAGTGAGACCCTGACTCAAAATACAAAACAGGGTCGGGCAGTGGCTCAGTGGTCAAGTGCCTCTGAGTTCAATTCCCAGTACTACCCCCCACCCCCCAAAATAAAGTTTTAATCTCTTAGTTATAAAAGCTATATGATTAGTCCTCCATATTCATGAATTCTGTACCCACAGATTCAATCATGGATGTAAAATACACAGAATAAAAGAATCCATCTGTACTGAACATGCAGACTTTTTCCCATCATTATGCCTAAACAAGACGGTGTGACAACCATTGCCATTGTACTGGGTATTGTATTAATCTAGAGATGGGTACAGTATATGGGAGAGTATGCACAAGTTAAATGCAAATACTATGCTCTTCTTTTTTCCAGTATTGGAGATAACTAAGTGCTTGTTGCCAGCCTTTTTGAGACAGGACCTACTAATTTGCTGAGACTGGCCTCAAACTTGCAATCCTCTTGCCTCAGCCTCTAGTCACCAGGATTATAGGTACATGCCACCACATCTGTTCTTTTGTTTTTGGAAACAGGGCCTTGCCCAGGTTGGTCTCAAATTCATGAGCTCAAGTGACTCTCCACCTGACTATGCCATTTTCTGTAAGATACTTGGACATCTATACATTTTTGTTTTCAAGGGGATCTTAAAACAAATCCCCAAAGATACTGAGAGCTGACTGTATAAATACTTTTAAAAAAAGGACAAGAATGTTAATTGTTGTTATTACTGAGTTGTGGGTTAACACAATATTTAATTAAATAAATAAATGGAATGGAGAGAGTAAGGAGTGGTTGGGACTGTGGCATGGAGTATCTGTGCCCTGTCAATGGTGTTCAGTGTTTTTTAATACTATGAAGGCCACACAAAACTATTAGTTTATGATCCCTGGACATGGGTTTGGCCACATTATTTTAGGCAGTAGGCAAATGGGGAGTGGTTTTTGATAAATTAGTATTGAGTGAAAATGCAAGTCTCACAAATTATAAACCAAAAGTAGGAAAATAAATAAATAAATCAGCCTGCTTTATTTACTTTTAGAGTGAAGTATAAAGTCAAGTCACCCCAAGGGCATCCATCATAATAAGGGCTCAAGCTGAGGTGGCAGAATGGGTTTGTGACTATGCTGACAAAAGTTATTACAGGGCTTCCTAAGGTACATTACTCAAGTACGGAGGCCTAAGCCATCTTGGTGTCCACAGTAAATATGTTCAGGGCATAAAAGCTAAACAGAATTTGAGCTGAATGGGCAGAGGAGGCTACAGAAGGCTACAATAGCACAGATGGATGAAAAGACATCAGAGACAGAAGCCAACCAGACATCATGAGCTGCTTCTAGCGACATTTATAAACTGTCCTAGTCTCAGAGGTCCTGAAGGGTGATCCTGCAAGTGCCTTGGATGTGCTCAGCATACAGGACAGTATATCTTCCACTTTATAACTTTAGACCCAAGTTAGATAAACTAGAAAAGAGATGATAAACACAGGTCTGACAGACTTAAAAGCCTGTGTAGGAAACCCCCACCTCAGAAGCTGGACGTTAGTAGTTAATCATTGAAGCCAAGTCAAAGTCAGAATAACCCAGGGCTTTTTTTCCCACCTTACCAGCATCATCATTTAGAAATTCTCAGGTACCAAAAAGTACACCTCATACCTTAGGAAGTAAATAATGGCCAATTCCTAATTCACAAGGGAGCACGCAGCTTAATTAGCCAAACATACTAGACAGACTTAGCTCTCAACTGAGCAACTGCTCTATCTTCACTCAAAAGGTAGTCGGATGCACATATCTTTGAAAGAGGTTGATAGACAGGCTCAGACATTAAGTTTATAATTTGTATTTTAGCCTAACTTCAAAAAACTAGTAGCTCTTAGTTATTAAATGAGCATTATTTCTTGTCATTTTAGTTTCTTCTGGTTAGGAAACAGAATAGACATTTGTGACTATAATGAGTTTCATGATCCTTTAAAACATAAATTATCTCTTTTTCTACCCCGACCCACCTGCCTACTCCTGAGTCTTATTCCCACAGGAAATAACATAATCTTCATCTATGCAGAGGTCACGTAACTATTTAATTCACAAAACAGGGTCAGAAGAAGTTGAGACAGATGAAATAAATGGCAAGATGTGTCTATAAAAATTCAAGTATCTAGCTCAGGTCCATCACTACACCCTCATATTATTTTTGTCATAACTCTAATATGCTTCCTATCTGGTTTCCATTATTTTAGCAAGTCAGAAGAAAAGAATTACCAATTAGATATGATAAAGCATTTGTAGAGACAGATGAATAATTACAAAGCTGCGGTGGTCAGGGGAAGAGGAAAATCGACACAAGTAGGCAGAATGCACGTGCAGGAAGCCTTGGCAGACAAGGTGAGAGGTCAAATGACTCCAATGGAACCAGGAAGAAACGGCTGTGTGACTGGTGCTCTTGAAGATTCCAAACCATCAGTTACACTCTACTCAGAATAATTTATTTAACATAATGAAGGATCTAATATACTTCACTTAAAAAGTAAAATTACTTAAAAAGTATTAACGTTCAAGAAGCTGAAAGATTTCCTCACAAGTCACGTTGAGTCTCAGTCTTCAATAGTGCAGAATAAATCACTTTACAGAAGACATACACACATGGAAACACAAATAACTTTAATGATTTTTGGTAAATAAAAAGGAAGCTTACATATGATTGAAAAATGAAAATAATTACAAGTATATCTACACAATAACTCCAGGTTTCAAGAGCTTAACATAAACCAACTGCTGTCAAGATAAATATTTAAAGAAACCAAAAATATTACTTATTAGAGGAGGAGAAAGAAAGCAGAGAGGGAGAATAAACCTAGAAAATGAATGAAGGAATGTGAGCAGGAAACTCCAAAGTGTTTTCACAAAAAAGGAATTCAGATGCGAGGAACAGATACAAACCTGTCTGGGAATGTGACCTAGGATCATAAGCAACAGAAAGTGACTTAAAATAAGTTATAAATCAAAAATGACAACCGAATCCCAGAGTTATAAATTATTTAGGCCAGACATTATCCAACTCCTCAGATTCATTTGGTGCAATGATGTTCATCATTCTCCATCAGAATGAAATGTGGAACAAACACATTAATGGCCGTAGAGAGAGAGAGCTTCAGAGCTAATTCACCCTGTAATGTCAGGGTCAGAAAAATATTATTTTTGTTCACCTAACACATGTGTTGACATGAAAAAAGTAATATGTCAAAAAAGGAACTGACGTAAAATGTATCTTCAAATTATCAGCAGAATCTCCAAGTTTCAAATAAGTGAGTCTCAAATGTTGATTAGCCTCATAGATTCTCAGTATTTAAAAATTAGGAATATTCTATTCCAATGTTATCAAACTGTTCTCTTTGGCTTGTGAGAGACCAAAGTGGCAGTCTCATAGCATCTCCTTCTCCAAGCCTGTAATATTTTAAGTACATTCAATTTCTAAGAAAGTTTTCATAAAGAATCCTGTTTCTTCTCCTTTTTCTTTTGAGACAGGGTCTCACTAAATTACCCAGGCTAGGCTGGCACTTGAGATCCTACTGCCTCAGCATCCTGAATAGCTGGGATTATAGGTGTATGTCCCCATAACAGGCAAAAATTCTGCTTCTTAAAAAATGTTTTAAAATTATGTATTCTATTCCTGTTGATGTACAATGAGAATATTCAGACTACATAAAGCAAGCTCCCCAGGTTGGCCCTAACCCTGACCACTATGCAAAATAGACTGTTTTGGTATCGGGAGCCAATACCTTCTCATGCTTACCTATACATTTAATGCTATGCCCTTTCGTATTACTTGGGGGAAAAAAATCCATTCTAAATCAAATAATCTCCAACTTTTACCCTACATGCCAACCTAAAATTTTTATTTAGACTGGGCTGGGGGTGTATCTCAGTGTTAAAGCACTTGCCTAGCATGCTCAAGGTCCTGGGTTCAATTCTCAGCCCCGCAAAACAAAAATAAAAACAACAACAAAACACAAAAAATTATTTTAGCAATACCTAGCAAGGTCTACCAAGAAAAAAAAAAAAAAAACCTACTTCTAATTTAAGGTAATGACATCTGACTGACAATTTTGTGGATTGGTGGCACCTTCTAAGGAATGCTGACACTAAAATATGTCAGAGAAAATACTCTATATACACATAGACAATAGATACAGATAACAGATAAACAGTTACAAAGTGATACTTAACAATATGTACAACAGGTTTAACATTGATTTTCACTACCAAAAAAACAATGCTGCCATGGTTCAAAGCATGATTTCCTGATGAATATATAAGATTTAAAAAGGGATAAAAATTAGGAAACAGATATTCAAGAAAATTATAAGAAACTAAATACACACAATATAAAATGAAGACAATTGCAGATAGAAGGATTTAACACCTATGATGGCATATTTAGACCAGGTACTCTCTTTTAAATGCAGAAAAAAATCATTTGACAATATTCTGCTTAATAAAGGATGGAAAGTAATTTTTGCTGATGTCAGGTGTGGACTTTTTACATCAAAGAATATTAAAAAATTGAGAGTATGATGATATCATTTACAGATTTAACCAACAGTTATCATAGCCTCTCATTAATCTTTGATAGCTGATAGAGTACAGCACATGATGAATCAAAAACAGGCATCTTAAAAAGAAAAAAAAAGTTTTTTTCAATGGTAGGGAATCAAATCCAGGGCCTTGTGCACAGTAGGCAAATGCTCTACTACTGAGCTACTGAGCTATAATCCTAGGTACAGAAAGAAAAATTCTTTAAAAGTGGTCCCAGCATCTAAATGCTAAACACAGAGTGTGAATTCCTAATCTGGCACCTTTTTTTTTTTTAAACAAAAAAAAAATAGTAGTAGTAGTAGTAGTAATAATAACAATGTGAATGACTCTACCTATTTGTAAAAATGTGAATGATCAAAGATTGTGCTAGGTTCACACAACTGTGCAACTTCAATTTGAAATGTTCATCTGGTATGATATTCAGCTGTCAAGAGGAAGCAACTCAAAGGACATCACACAGTCTATAAACCAGCTTGAAGGAGCCATCCAAACTTTGCCCTGACGAACCTTTTCTGGGCGATAATTAGATAAATCCTCATAGATGATATACTGTGTGCAGAAGCGCTGATCAGAATCGGGCTTGGCATGGTACGCAACTGTATTGATGGTTTGAGTCACATCACTGTCTGGCTTAGGTTTTCTACTGAGGATCTGGCCCCCTGCTGCAGTGACAAGCTTAATAAGGTTGTCCTTTGGGTGATGTTTGAAGGTTCCCCCAAAATAGAAGTAACATCCATCAAATAGCTTTGGCAACTGAAATAACAAGGAAAATTTTGTTAAAAGCTGATTGAAATATTTAAAAACACTGCACAGGAATGAAGGATAAAAATAATAGTCAAGAGCAGCTAAGATACTACTTAATGAGGTGCTGGTACAAGCTGTATTTCAACTGAACTAATTGGATCAAGAAAAATACTTATGCAAATAACGGTTTCCTATTTATAACTTTTTCTCTAACCAATCAGTCACTACCATCTCAATTCCTTTTCACTCTCCTAAAAACTTAAGTGTGTTTTGTATTTTTTTAAACAATGTTCATCAAACCTCTTTTATCAGCATGCTTATGCATACGAGGTGGGACTTTAGGCCTAGAATATCTGAGATATGCTTCAGGGACACTGGACTAAACTATAAAGACCATTCAATTCTGCCCACTCATATCAGATCCCTGCATAATTCCAACTTCAGGTCCTTAGGACAGCCATAGTGGTAGTATGACCTAAGGGTTCCAGAGATTATGAAATGATGGCTAGGAACCCAATTAGTTACAAGACATACTTCTTTGTGCTTTACAGAAAAATAAAGTTTCACAATTCCCTCCACTAAATTTTTTTTTGTCATTTCTAATACATATATATATATATATATATATATATATATATATATATATATGAATATGATAATGGAATATTATCCATTAAAACTGCAATATGTAGCAATAAAGACATATGGTAACTAAATCCGAGCAGCAGCTGTAAGTCTTCTTTCAAGCTACTTCCTGTATCTGAGATTTACCTCAGATTCTGAAAGGTTTATGGGAATGTTCAAGATGCCAAAAATCCATTAACAGTATGAAATTATTACCTTCTGGATTTTACTGCACATCGTGATCATCTTTCAGAATCAAGTGCTTGAAATAAGCACAATTAAAATTTTAATCAGTCACCTGTACTTGCTGAAAGGGCAGAAGAAGTTTTTCTTGATGGTGATAATAATATGAAGTCATAATAAGAACAATGAAAGTAGTATGGAAAGAAAAATACCAGCTGTTCTCTGTTGAGCCTGCTTCTCTGTGGGCCTTCAGGAATTTCATACTTTTCTTCCTGTTCACATACTTTGTTTTGTAGAGAGACTTTCACCCCTGACAAAACGCAAGGACAAATCAAAATAAATATCAAGTGAACACTATTTTTCTCTCATTGAAATTAGACAATTTACTAAAGTGTTTGTTTTTTTTTTTTCCTTTTCATGGTTGTTCTCAGTATTATTCTGAAATAGAAACTTCATTTAGGCCAAAATATAGCAAAACTGATATTCCATATAAAGAAAATATAAGAAATCCTTCCTTCAGGATTAAGCAATGAGTTAGTACTAAACAGTAATTTTAAACTCCTTTGTGAACAATCTAAACCAATACACTATTTCAAAAACAAGAAAAGATATCAACAGTTTTACTAATAGCAATTATCCAAATTCATGTGAATAAAAAAGTCCATCACACAGCTATTCAGAAGGCTAAGGCAAGAGGACTGCAAGTTTGAGGCCAGCCTGGGTAGCTTAGCAAGATCCTGCCTCAAAATAAATAAAAGGCTGGGAGTTCACTCAGTAGCAGAACATTTATTTATTGGCATGCATAAGGAAGGTCCTGGGTTCAATCTTTAGTACCACAAGGCGGAGAGGATGCAGAGGGCTGTGGCATCATCTGAGTCCAGCACACAATAATCTGAACTAAGCACTTATCATCTGACTGCTCATTTTGGCTGTTAGACTGCAGAGAATTCAACATTAGGAAAAATGCTTAAGTCCACAGCACCTACATAGCTAGTCATATGATAGAGGTTCGACAGTACCTGTTAAAATAAAAAAAAAATAAGCAGTGTTTATTGCCTGGGATTTGACATTGAAGTCACTAGTTTAGAGAATATTTGGTTGGGCTTCACAATAAAAAGAACAGTCTTCTGATGGCTTGCATACGTGTGCTCAGATTCAGTTTATAAAGTAAAGGCAACCAGTACCCAGCATGATGCTACCTAAAGTCATTCCTCTAATGGGCTCCTGGGAGGAGAAGTCCTAAGCAGGACCACCCGCTAACAGGAGTCTTTGGGTGCCAAAGATCATCAGATGGGAGTACCCAAGCAGCTTAATCTAAAGACCACATCTTAGTGTATTGAAAGGCACCATCAATGGTAAATATATATACATCAATGCCATGTATATATATTTACCATACTCCTAGGTTTGATGGCACAGAAAAAACTCAATTTAAGATTTGAAGTCAAATGACTTTGTTATCCCAATCATTTTCTTTGAAATATTGTTTAAACTCTTTAACCTTAGCTTCCTTGCCTATGAAAAGAGAAAAAATGAAACTAACAATATCACCTACTTCATTCACAAAGCTTCTTGTGGATAAAAACGCAAGAAGTGTTCTAGAAACTAAATTGTGTAATAATTACCTTCATGATAAAAACAGCCTTCAAATCATTTGTTATTTGTCTTGACATTATTGTGATCAATAACCTCAATTTTATCATTGAAGAAATTCCATGAGGATTTGTAGGAACAAAATTAAAAAAAATACACAGCATCTATAAGACTTCAGAATTATAGTTCAAATTCTTAGCTATTTTTAAGTTTTTTTATGTAAAAATGTTGTATCTTTCATCACTTGATATCTACTAGCTTAAAACTTAACCAGAAAAAACTAACAGCTACAAAAATATCTACTTTCAATTGTGAATTATGCATATATGCTGGAAACAAATTGATTTAACATCATATTAGAAAACCTGAAAAATGTTGGTGATAAAATTCTGTCCAGGTAATCCCTACTCAATTCAAAAGTAGAGTAACTCCAATGCAGAAGAAGAATCTCTTAGCTTATAAATGGCATATATCTGTAAAAGGGCTCCTTTATGAACTGAAGGGTGGCCCAGAAACAAAAGTTAATCACTCCAAGCATCAGAACTGTCCCAGATTGCATTTGAGTATGATAAAAGGCCTCTTGCCCTATAATAGTTACCTTAAGAGCAAACTTGATGCTGTATAAGACAAACTCAGTGCTTTGCAGAAGTCAACAACATCTCATTTTAGGCTGAGCTCGACTTTGTGAGACAACTCTTTTTAAACTTTCTTCTCTATTATCCCAAACTCACAAAATAATGAAACTTCATCAATGTCTACATGAATCAATCTGCAGAACTTGCAGTAAGAGACAAAAATTGAAAAAACTAATACGTTTTGAGGAAAAATGGGATATTTGAACCCTATTTATTATATTTATTCCAATCTTCCTAGAACACTTGGATTTTGAAAATATTTAAAATTATGGAATTAAAGACCTAGAAAATATCCTAATGATCTTGCCCAACTTTCTTATTTTATTGATTTGAAAAGTCAAGTGCAGAAACATAAAGTGATTTGTTAAGATCACTGGTAATATGGCCAAATTGAAGCTAACTACTTCCTAACAAAATAGCTTTTCACTGTAGTGCTCTTCCTGTACCTTAATTATTAAGTGCCTATTATGTACAAAAGAGTTAGTCTCTGCCCCTAAGAAGGGAAGTGTTACTCATTTTTTATATTCCTACTGTTTCCTGCCACTCTTTAATTCCATAATCTAACTGATCACTTCCATTAAAATCGAAAGGCTTTATTTTAACTGGGTGCTTAAAGTGAAATTTTATTGCTTTATTTTCATTTATTGGTAAGCAATTAATCCATTATCAAATTTAGTTTTTCATTAAAATTTGTGCTAAAGATGTTAAGGATGCCACCAAGAGAAGCTCAAGTCAAGGTACATAAAACAGCAAAGGAAAGAAAAACATCTGAGTGTAAAACTGTTTCTAAAAATAATATAGGACCAATTTATCTTCAATATTTAAAAACTGCCAATAAAATATTCTAGAAGTATTGGTGATTTGGATGTAGGTCTTTATTATTTATGGTATTAAACAACAAAAAAAAATTCAACATTGAAAGAAAAAGCAGAATATCAGTAAGAAAATATAGAAAGTCAAGTTTTTTTATTGTTACTTCTCTAGGCACAAACAGTAGAATGTGAACAAAATTTACTTGCTTATTTATTAAGTTTATTCTTCTTACACTTGTAAATCCTCTAAGACAAAACTTTCTTCCCATAAATTCTCATTAGCGGAGAACCATCATGGCAGCAGCACTTTATATAAACTCTGAATCTGTTACATTAATACTCACGCTAGGAGCAGAATGCATTATTGTACTAGGAATGTGTAAACACTGTCTAATACTCAAACATTAATTGTCCACAAAACACAATAATCACAATCATAAGTTCACCCAAGTAATTTAAAAAGAATATATATTTTTTAAAAGTGTAGAAAATCTGCTTATCATATACTCATAACTTTCCGGTTAAATTAAAGGAAAAACAAAATTAAAGCCCAATTTATTCCATTATACTTTCTTTTTAAAATGACTTCTCATTTAAAATGACCAAAGATACAATTATTTGTTCTAAGGAAAGACCCTGATAAAAATTATTACAATAACTGCTACTATCTGAGTTGTAAGCATTTAGAACATTCCCCCAATCCAGCAAGATTGTTAAAGTAGATATTCATTATCTGCAGCAGTCATGGTTCTATAAAAATGCTGAGGACACTGAACTATTGCTCTTAAGAGTAAATACAGGGTTAGGCTCCTATAATTGGTCCCAACATTTTCATTTACTGACCAAAACTTAATCATGTTTTATGTGTGTTTGTGATTTGTTGTTGTTGTTTAATATTGGGGATTGAACCCAGGGACACTTTACCACGGAGGAGCTACATCCCAGGTCCTTTGTATTTTTTTGAGAGAGGGCCTCACAAATTTGCTGAGGCTGACCTCAAACTTGCAATACTCCAGAGGTTTAGTCTACTCAGTAGCTGGTATTACTCAGGGCAATGTGTTTGTGTTTTAAAAAAAAAAAACCTTAGTCATTCTATTGTTTTTATCCATAAGCATTAAACTCAAGCCAAGAGCTCTACAATTTGGGCCGTAACAAAGTTTTACTAACAAGTGTTTTCTCTGAAAGGTCGATCCTTGACTACAGGAACATTGGTCAGCACAGCAACACTATATATAGGGGCCATTTTAAACAGTGAAATTATGAACAAAAATGAACAGAATTCTAAAAACCATGCACTGTTTAAAAGTGTGAAAGGGATACTTCATTGTTTAGAGTAAGAGCTGAAGAAAGGTGGCAGAACATCTCTGACCTTAGCTGGGAAAGTGCTCATTTGGCAACTCAAAAGTCTAAGCTACTCTGCCTATGCCTACAAAAGCAACGCGCTGATTGTGGGATTACAAAATTTTAGAAGTATACAAATTCAAAAATAGAAAGAATTATTGAACAATGAGGATTTACTGTATATTATTTCTATTTCAGGGGAGAGAATTGAAGCAAAAGAAGTTAAGTGACTTAAACCATTAGCTAGTAAGTGGTAGAATGGGACTGGAACCCAAGTCCACTCAGTTTTCTAATGCCTGTGGCATTTTACATTAAAATATACCTTTCTGGTACACAAATAAACCTTCTAAAAGACATAACTGTGAATATGTCCAAAGCTTTAAAGCTGCTTTAACTGACGGTTCCAAAATATTGCTTAATATATAATATCAGAAGATTTAATAACTTAATACTCCATGTCTCAGAAAACAGAGCTCTGTCAAGAGACCGTTTTTCCTTAACTTGGAGTGGTTAATATATATTCCGATACACCCAGGACATTCATAATTCCCTATCATGTGAGTCTTAATTTGTTGGTTTTTCCTATGTCATAGGGCTCAAATCTCTTTCCCTCATTGTTTTTAATAGAATAATCATATCACCTGAATTTGCTAAGATGAATTTTCGAATCCTAGTATTTGCAATTTATAAATATTCTATAAATTGTTTTTTGCACATAATAAATTTTAGTATCAAATTTTTTAATAACGACTAAGTAAAAAACTAATGAATCTAATATAAAAGATTTAACTCTAACACATATTGAAAATGAAACTCAAAATGAAAATTTTAACAAGGTCAAAATACCATCCTAGAAACACTGCCAGTGTGCTCAATGGCATTACATCATATACTGTTTCTATACTAAATACCAATCCAAAAGGTACTAC